CAGCTCGCCTGACCGTGTCCTACAGCCGGAGCAGCGGCCCCGGCGGGCAGAACGTGAATAAAGGTGAGGAACAGCTTCTCCCATGGAAAAGTCACCATCTGCGGTTGTTTCTCTGTAAAGGATGGCAAAAAAAACCCTGAGAATGTGAAGTTAAAGAGCATCTTTGTGCTGCCCAATGCTAGTTTTTCATTTTAAGACAACTTCTGAGTCTTCATAGCACTCAAGACCAGTGGTAACACATTTGATCCTCCTAGGACTCTTACAAAGATTATCATAGAATAGAATCATAGAATGGTTGGAAGAGACCTCCAAGATCATCGAGTCCAACCCTACCATGGTTACTAGACCATGGCACTGAGTGCCACATCCAGTCTCAGCTTGAAAACCTCCAGGGATGGTGAATCCACCACCTCCCTGAGCAGCACATTCCAATGTCTGATCACTCTCTCTATAAAAAATCTCTTCCTAATATCTAACCTAAACCTCCCCTGGCAGAGCTTGAGTCTGTGCCCTCTTGTCCTGCTGCTGGCTGCCTGGGAGAAGAAACCAACCCCCACCTGACTCCAACCTCCTGTCAGGACCTCATGCCACCTCTATCCAATGTGTTTTCACTGATCAAACATACAAGCAGCCAACTGGTTTCTGAAACTTCACAGTGCAATAACTTCTCAGTTTAACCCAAACAAACTAAAATATTGCTTGTCCTGCCATTGCCATTAAAATAAGGTAGGTAGTGACTGGCAGTAGTGAAAAATCCTGTAGTGTCTAGAAAGGCAAATACCATGACAGGTACAGGTTTGTCTCATGTAAAAATATAGTAAGAAAAAATTGTGATCTCGCAGAAAACTGATGCTGGAATTATCCATGTTCACAGCCAGCAGTGAACAGACTGAATTATCTCATAAGCCTGAGGGAGAAAAGCTGTTGCATTTAAACAAAGACTCTGTTTTTCCTCCCAGTGAATTCCAAGGCAGAAGTTCGGTTCCACCTGGCGTCAGCAGATTGGATTCCCGAAGCTGCAAGACAAAAAATGGCACTGATGGTACCAACCTTCCCCTCCAGCTTAATGTCTGTGTCAGACACAACACAGCAATTCCAGCAAGGTTTCAGTGCTCACATCATGTTTTCCCCCTTCAGCACAGGAACAAGATAAACAGAGCTGGAGAGCTGATTGTGACCTCGGAAGAGAGTCGCTACCAGATGAGGAATCTGGCGATTTGCTTGGAAAAAATCCGAACCATGGTCACTGAGGCCACTGAGACACCCAAGGCGGTGTCTAAGGAGACAACACAGAAACTCATAGAGAGGTATCTGCATTAAAATGGTCTTTATTTGGGTTCAGACTGTCATGTTACATGATTTGGTTTGCAGCATCTTTAAACAATCTTCATACTCATTTGGATTTCCTTTAACTGCTTTCCTGGGTAACATTCCCAGAACAGGGACTGGTTTTCTCTCGGTGGATGTTTGTTTGCTCATCAAATCTCCAAGTGGAATATTTAAATGTTTTCTTTGTACACTAAAAGATCTTTTCATTTTGTTTCAGGGTGGAAAAAATGAACCGTGAACGACTACGACAGAAGAGGATCCACTCGAGTATAAAACAGAGTAGGAAGGCAGATTTTGACTGAGAAAGCAAAGATCCAAGTGCTTGGCATTCCATCTCCTTAAAGAAGTGGCATTGGCAGCTGTAGGTGATGCTAAACTCATGAGCTGTATTGAATAAAAAGGGTCTGAAAGTGTAAATAAAAATATGTAACATCTTCTTTCGAACCCAGCGATACACTGTGACAGCCTGGCAGGCATTTTGCAGAACCATTATTGTTACGTTTGATAAGCACTAAAAATTCTGATTTTTGTCAGCTGCTCTTTTTTTTCCCAGTTCTTTTTATCCTTTGTGCAGCCTGTGCTCCATCAGAGCACCCTCTGCTGCTGAACACGAAGCCAGCAGTACATTTGGGGGAAAGAAAGGGAAGATTGAAAACAGTCTTAACTATATATCTCAGTTGCAAATAGAATCCTAAGTCATTATGGTTGGAAAAAGACCTTTAAGATCATTGAGTCCAACCACTTAGAGTAATCCTTGTTTCTTTCAGTCTTAGTTGATTTTTTCCTAACCCAACCCA